TAAATGAAGAATAAATAAAATTTCATTTTAGCTCAAGATTTTAGAAGTATAGAGTTAAAGTAGACTTTAGAAGGAACCAGAAACCCAATCATGAACAGGAAACAAGCCTCGACATTCTGTTTAAAAGACCAGGGAGCGGGGGGTGAATGTACACGATTGAAAAGTAGACTCAGTCAGCATATAACATTGGCACGCATTTGGGTCAACTTTAGTTTTGGGAAGTGGGGTTACATTTATAATACAAATGTAATATTAAATCAATTTAGCTGCAATAAGAAACTATATTTTTAGTGCTTTAGTCTATTTTAGAGTTTATCTTAGCCAGGTTAAAAAGGAAAAAAAAATTGTTTTATTTGCGAACAAATATGAAATGAAGTAAAGACAGGACTATTTTGTGGCTGAGATAGTTGCATATTCCTCCTTTCCATAGGCCCCAATGTGAGAAGTCAGGATTAAGAATGGTGATTTTCAGAGCAAGTAGACCCTCCCCCATTATGTCTCTGCCTGACCCCCAATAAATTTGAGGGTCAATATTATATGTGAAGATTTTATTGGGGTGAAGGAGCAATATTTAATCAACCCTATAAAAATATTTTCCCAAAAATAAAGAAAAACAAGAAATTAGTCAAAACAAATACGACCACAATAAGTGAAATTATGAAAATGAAAAAAAAAAAAAAAAAAAAATCCATTTTATCGCAATCAATCAATAATTTATTAATTTGGTTAATAATTTGGGTTAAAGAAAATTTAATAAGAAAAGGATTAAACTTTGATTGTTAATGAAAAAAAAAAAAATCATACACGTTTTTATTGAAATTTTATTTGGCAAGCTAAGAGTTAACAATGCAGATGTGATGTCAAGCTTCCCAAGCTAATTAATAGAAAAATTATCTCAATATTATTTGACTTTCCAAATCAAATTTGTTGTACAATTTCTAAAATTGTTTGCTAAAAGACAATAACAGAAGCCGTTTATCTTTTGAGAAAATTCATTTGTCATCTTTCTTTGTGAAAATTTACAAATTTTTTTTACTCCATTAGGATTTAAATCACTTCAATCTGGTTGTCTTGTTATTCAGTAAATTTTAGTCATCGCAAAAGGAAATTGCAGAATCCAAAATTTAGCTGATGAAAACAATAAGTGTTTGTCTCGGGTGGGAGGGATTATTTTTATTATGGCTTTCAAAATAAGACATTTTATAAGTAGACATTCACCTAATATACAAAAATATACTTAAACAAAGGCAGAGGAAGAGCAAGAAAAATTTTCAATGACTGTAAAGTCAAGAAAAAAAAAAAGCAAACAAATAAACTGGTTATTGCATTTTGCTATTCAGAGTTCAATCAAAAATAAAAAAAAAAGTGGGGGAGGATACTGTCAGAGAATGAGCGATATAAATCACAGACAGATTCCATTAAGTCCCAGTAGGCATTTCTTCTACTTACGGAGGGAAGGTTGCTTGGACTTAATATATAGGGTCTCAATTTGTTTTATTTTTCCATTCACTATTTTGTTTTTCTTTGCTCTTCCTCCCACTTTATTTTAATATATGTTATGTGAATATATCTCTTTAAAGATGTCCATTTTTAAAGAAAAGGTTCAATCTTTAAAGACGGTAGTTTTTTTGGTTTTTTTTTTTTATATATATATGTTTAGAGGTTTGATAGTAATTTTTTTCAGGGGTCCAAAAAAAGTCATTAAAAGAAATGGTTGAGAATCAAAGAGTATGCAGCAACAGAAACACAAATTGTTATTAAATGGTGGTGACAAGCTTTGGGTGTTGGAATCAGTGATAATCAAAAAGGGCCAACAATTTGGATGTCTTTAATTTAGAAACATTTTGGCAGATCCATTCTACAGCCTTCTCCAAGTATACTGTATAGTAGATGACAAGAACAATATGAAACAAAAAGAAGTCACAAACAGAAAACTTAAATAACAATATTCAATAATTATTTATGTAAGATGGAAAGCAAAGATCTGAGTTTAGTATAAAAGTTACTGTTGACATATGTTTTCTCTCTGTATTTGAAGTGGGGGGAGGAGGAGGTCTGTAAAGAATTCTGCAGTAGGAACCTCAACGCTGCACTGACAACAGACTGAAAAGATAATTTTCCTCAGCTTTCTTTTATTCTTTCTTTCTTTATGTTAGAGAGAATGTTGTAGGCATTTTCTCTTTTCTCTCTCACTTCCTTGAAGTGAGAGAGAGAAAAGAGCAGATGTTAGCAAGTTGATCAGTTATAATCCTCACCATGTGCACGACATATCTATCTGCTGAAAACTACCAAGTACACAAAGCAATTAGAGTGTGAAAGGCCCATATGAGCATTAGAGCTATGGTCTTCTCTACTGATACGACTAACCGTACACTGTCTGTTTCCAGACACTTTTCTAGACCAAAACAGAGAAAAAGGCAACCCATCACTGTCTGTTTCCAGATACTTTTCTAGACCAAAACAGAGAAAAAGGCAACTCTGCCTACAACAAGAGAGGCATTAATATGGACAGTTACTCTGGCATTTAATCTTTCGTACGAGATTCTCTCAACCTCTTTCTGTGAAAGAGAATGAAACAAAAACAGAAAATTTTAATAAACGTCATTTTCATCCTTAAATTAGGCATGGCCATTCAGAAGGCAAAAAGGGCCACATGTGGCCTGTGGGCCCCAGTTTATTCATGGCTGGCTTAAATATTCAGGATATATATTACACAAGAGAATTAAGCATTAATTTTTTTCCAGACCAAGTGCATCACCATAGTGAGAATGGTATGACCAAAAGTAAGTTATATCTATAGAACTAATCTAACTAATGCATAATAGAGTTTAAAGTCATGAACAAAACATAGCATTTGTATTACAAAGCATATTGTAGTCCATATAAATTCTGATTTTTAACTGCTATAAACCAGGTGTAAAATACTGAACGTACATTAAAATTAGGTGCTACAAATTACAAAACGTTTCCTTTGTTTTAAGGTTCAAATATACACAAATAATCAGGGTAGCTTATTTTACAAGCATTGCTGCTAATTTGAAATTTTTCTGTTTGTAAATTTTCTTTTTAGCTTTGTATAACTGTGTGTGTACGTCAGTAAAAATAATGGATGGCTGCTTGTATGCAAATATGCTTGTCTGTTAGGACAGACAACTAGTCCCAGCTGCAGGCACCTGATCAGGCACATTCGCATTTGTTCAATACTCACAGAGCCTATCTAGGAGAGAGCTCATCTGGAATGATCTACAGTTGAAACAAGGCCAATACGCTAACGTCCTCAGCCACAATGACTTATGACTTTGTGCTAGCTCAACTATTGATGAACAATTTCACTCACAAGGGTTGGGTCAACCCATAGGTATGGTTTTCAGGTACTTTGCGAATGTGCTACACACTGGGAACACCTTAACAGAGCACTAACATCAAGTCATCTTCCTGATAAATTGACCAGAGTGAAATTTGAACCAATCTCTTATTGTTAGAGAAGCAAGCATTCTAACTACTTCTCCACAGATTTATATATATATATATATATATATATATATATATATGTGTGTGTGTGTGTTTGTGTGTGTGTGTGTGTGTTGGTCGAAAGGTACCTAAGTTATAACATGACGTTTGTTTTGATTAAATCTGTTTCATTTCTCTGGGTACAAATCCCTTTATATATACATATATATTATAGGTAGTACACCTGAAAAAGGCTGTATAAATAGAATGAAGAGTTCAGTATTTACATTAGTCGGACTATTGTCCTCATCTTTGTCGCCATATTTGTCACAACGTTTCGGCCGTTGTACGCTCCGGCCTTCTTCAGGTGGTTGGAATTTCGAACTGAACCCTTTATTACGATCACTGGGGTAGACTGTTATAATTCCGACTAATGTAAATACTGTACATAATACCTCATCTCAGAAATATAGACAAACTCAGAATGAAGAGTTGTTGAAGTTTTTATTTTGTTCCAAAGTTTCTTGGAATGAATGACATGAATTCCAAAAATCATTCAGACTATTAAAATTTTTTTTAATATTTTCTTTTGTCTTTCTTAGATCAATTCATTTTCTATGGCTTAACTCTTTGCAAGATATTTAACATCAGATATTAATTATGAAAAGAATTTTTTTTTAAATAATGCTTTAGGGATACAAGTCTTACTAATTAACCCATAGTGGAGAGAGAAGAAGTGGAGTCATACCATTCCGAAAGGTATTACTACATAAGTGAATATAACAATCCCAACAGGAATTGGAAATCAGTTCTCTGATTAACAATTCCAAGCCATTATCCTTTACACCACCTGCACATCCAAGCTTACAGACCAAGTGGTCACCCATTGAGGTACTGACCAAGATCAACATTGCCTAACTTTGGTGATCGTTCGTGAAAATGATTGTGTGATGCAGCTGTAAGCAATTCTTTTTTTGATATGACTGTTTTATTCAAAAGCATTCATAAAGTTTACCTCATAGCAAGAACCGCACGTTCTCTTTTTGTTGGTAAAATGGTAAAAAATATTCCAATAGTAGAAGAGATTGGTCAAACCATAGAAAAACAAAACCAAAAAAAAGTCTGAAACAATTTCCAGAATGAAAGAAGACAACTGTTACTCGATTTGTTCGTCTGAGTTGGGTTTTTTCTTCTTGAGTCAAAAGAATTTAGTGATTAGAATCTTGTAAAGGAAATCATTTTGCAAACATTAACAGAAATCACACATAAGCAGAGAGAGAGAGAGAGAGAGAGATGCAAGCACACACGCAGACACACAAAAGGGGAGATAACCAAGTACCTTACGGCTTTCCGTTCCACATATCTAAGATAGGGAGATGTTCTGAAATAGTCAATAGTAAATACATAAATCAAACAATGATGGAGAGATGACCGAGTTTTCTAAAGCCGAGGGGGGTCACCTTTCAGGAGATGAGAGAGGGAGAGAAGAACAGAAGGCAAAGACATTTTTATTATAACTTCAATTGTAGAAAAAGAATATTTAGACATTT